CAATCTTAAGGCCCCAAGATCTTGCTGAAATTAGTTGATGAAAAAGAACCAGGTTGAGTCAGAGGATCTTTGGTGAATGGAAAGTCGAGGCCGAAAGGCCTGGCACCAGCTTTGATATCCTGAAGCGTTTTTTTCACATCTTCATCTGCATCTGACCGAACCACCGACTGGGGCGGGTCACATGAAGTGTGGCCTTTAAAGCCTGCAGAGATTCACGCCTCTCAAGATGGGCTTCTCCAATGAGGGAGTCCGGAATCTCAAGTGGGAGTTCTGCGTTTTTATGGCCCTTTGTTTCTAAGCATGGTATTTTGCATATGTAATTCGCTTGGGTGCTGATGCACAAATTAGTAAAGATTCTTAGAACATCAATATGTTGCATAGGTATCAGCATGTAATATGCACTCTCAGTTAGATCATCCGAAGATGAATTCATAGAGACCAAAAATGATATAGGTGAGGTTATACTAACTAGTGGTCTATCATAACATGCATAAAACACCATACATTACAACAGACAATATGCAAGAACAGTAATGGTATACACAATGACCTGAAGGATATGTGTATTCAATCAAAGAAAGGTTTTCCTATGAATTAATTAGAGAACAGTCCATTTCTCTGGGCATTATGTGTCTTTCTTATGAGGAAAATGAGGGAGTTTATCTGCCCGCATTCCTTTAGGCAATAAAACCAGTGATATCAGCATTGGTTACCATGGAATGCAGCTGAGAGCATTCCACAAGGTTGTAAATGTATCGGGTTACCATGAAACCAGGGTCCTGTTCGGCGTCCTGGGGTGTTGGGGTGTTTTTGTGAAATCTAGCTAACAAAATATATATTGTGTGTTTGAGTGGTCCAGACGCTACAACTGTTAGAGGCAAACTAATGTCATATCATACAGCCTTTTAGCTCACTCAAAGAAGACTCTTTCCAGTCACCCCCCTCGTTTCGCGTCTTTTCAATTCACACCCATCTCATCTGTGACCCATCACTGTCTAGATCATGTTTTGGCCAGGTTGACAGGGCTCCAGACTAAAGAAACAACTAGGGAGCCACTAATAATTTAACCGTTAGGAGTCAAATAAAACTTTTGACTTCATAAATATATGAAAATGTCTCATGACAAAGAAACATTTTAGTATTCTGACAACAATTTAAAGGGATAGTTCACCCAAAAAATTAAAATTCTGTCATTAATTACTCACCCTCATGTCATTCCAAACCCATAAAACCGTTCATCTTCAGAACACAAATTAAGATATTTTTGATGTAATCTGAGAGCTTTCCGACCCTTCATAGATAGCAACACAACTGACATGTTCAAGGCCCAGAAAAGTAGTAAGGACATTGTTAAAATAGTCCATGTTCAACCTTAATTTTATGAAGCTACAAGAATATTTTTTGTGTGCAAAGAAAACAAAAATAACGACTTTATTCAACAATTTCTTCACTTTCCACTCTCTCTCACTCACTCACTCTCTCACACACACACACACACACTCTCTCACTCACTCACTCTCTCACACACACACACACACTCTCTCACTCTCACACTCTCACACACACACTCACACACACACACACACACACACACACTCACTCTCTCTCTCACTCACACTCACACACTCTCACACACACTCTCTCACTCACACTCACTCACACACTCTCTCTCTCACACACAC